TGCCATGGTTTTGGCAGGCATTTCTATGGAAGGTCGCACTAACATGATCTTCATCGAAGGTTCCCTAATAGCTGCGCGATGCATTGAAGATATGTTATCGGAAGAGGTTGTTCTTTTTATGCCACTAATTGACGACGGTTTTATTTTTATGCTTGACAATGCAAGGCCCCACACAGCTAGTATCGTAGATGACTGCTTGGAACGGGCTTCAATTAATATTTGGAGTGGCCAGCATGTAGTCCCGGCTGAAGCCCTATCGAACACCTTTGGGGCGAATAGTAAACGAAATAAAAAGTCGCTCAGTGATGGCAAAGAATTTGCAGGAATGGCGTTGTTGGAGGAGTATGAAATATTCCAGAGCACTACCTTCAAAATCTCATAAAATCGAGACAAATTTTAATCCAGTTAATTAGAAATAATGATAATGATTCCATTGCATTATTTTATAGTTAATTTTTTTTAACATCATGGTTGATAAGAGTGTTTAAAGACATTTTTCAGTCATTCAATCTGGTAATGAGAGATGGCTATTAAGTAGCCGTATTTGACAAACGCAACCCAAAGAAAAAGAAAAATTCACCACAGAAAAGTAGTCTTAGTAACTACCTGTGACGTTGCGGTTAGTCTGGGAGTTGAGGAACCCACAGTTTGACCGGCCGATCCTGGTCCGCCTATCCTCGCTAGTTTTGTCTGCCATGAAAAATATTCAAAATAAAATTACTAACAGTTTTTTGCTTTTCACGTCTAATGTTAAAACTGCCAAACAATTCTTCTCTTTGTCCTGTATTTCTTCTTATACAGTCAGAGCGATAGAAGTTGGTACTAGTAAACATTCCTATTAAAAAATACCCTTTGCGTGCATTCAAGAATATTACATTCTTGTCAATAAATACCTCTGTATAACTTTTATTTTGCTTTGAAAAGCATATAAAACAAAGGTCTTAACAAAAGCTTAAATGTCTAATAAAAAGGTATATAAAAACACGTCAATTGCTCTGCTTTGTCGATTTTCACTGGGTCAACTCGAAAGGGTTGGTCCTCTTGAGTCTTCTTGTCATCTTGCCTCATTCTTCATTGTCAACGAGATGGATCGCCTCGACATGAGTAATTCGTGACGCATGACAGATATGGCTCTAGCTTGTTGTTTCCGTCTACAGGCTCTGATGCTCTAGCTTATCCAAAAGGATCCCAGTCCCCGATGGAAGTACTGCTATAGGTATATTAAGAAGCATCAAGATGTTCTCTGGCGTAGGTAGTTCGACAGTAATCCATATCCAGTGTCTTATTTGAGGTCACTATTACTGATATAATTAATATAATTCACAATGTACTTTTGATCTAGCTTTTTTATCCTTAACTAAGGTATTAATGGAAGTAATGCCATCCAAAGAGTTTTTATCGATTGATTTTTAATTGGTTTAATTTAATATGACGACTTAAGTTGGTACATACACCCTTGGGTATATATGACTAATTAAAACAGTCGATAAGACCAGCTTTAAATAACATTTTTTGCTTCGAGGAGAATAAACTTATGTTCTTTTGATCTAGCTGTCACAACAATATCCAGGGTCTCCTGTACGAATATGCCAACGAATCCAAGGTATCCTCTGACTTTAGCTTTTTTTAAATGTTTCTATATCCAAGTCCCAATTGAGCTACTAAAGAATGTCCACGATCTAGTTTTCCAACTGTATCCGTAACTGTATCCAGGGTCTCCATGGAGGTTACTGTTACGGATATACCGCCAATGTGTCCTCTGGTTCGTAACAGTGATCAGTGGTACATGCTTTCCATCGAAGTCCAGCATCAAACACCAAGGTACTTTGCAGTATGCTCTTTGGATTTAGCTGGCTTAACAGTATCCATATCTAGGGTCTCAATAGAGATTACTGTTTTGTATATACCATGAGTATCCTAGATGCTTTGGCTTTAGCTAGTGATATCTATACTCTAAGGAACATTCATGACGTTTCTTGACAAGCTAGTTCAGTTACAAAATCTGGATGGAGGTCACACTTACAGATAAACCAATGAACATCGACGAAATTCCTCAGTATTTTCTTCCGGTTTTGTGGTCCCTTAATTACTCTTTTCTGGTACAGTCCCATTGGTAGACACCATAGGTTAAGTTTACTTCGTTAACCCTTTCACGGTCATGTAGAATGTTTATGTATCTATCCGAGTTCGTATATGTTTTTGTTATATGGGCTTTCCATCGGAGGAAACTCTGTAACACAAAGGTACTGGTACTTTGCTACCGTTTGTTAATATGACTATCTGTTGGATAGGTTTTGCTTCAAAATTTAATTATTTTTTATACTTGGATTCGTGTAATTTTGATCTTCCTCTTTTTGTCCAGTATGTATCTTGTATATTACAGTAATATACTATATTATAGTAATGACTATAATTTTTCAGCCGCTTCTTGGTGGGTCTTTGCCTGTAGATATTTGCAAATGTGGCTGATATTTTGGATTAGGAATATTACTCGTGGACAGGATTTTTGGTCGGATTATTGTGCTTTGGAAATGATTGTGTGGATGATTTCTCTGTTTCTCCAAAAGAACTAATGTTTCTTTTAATGATTTTATTGTGCCCCAGATCTGGTTTGTGAATGTTTAATGCATAGAGAAATTATGCTGGTCTTTGGTCTACCTGATAAGAGGAACGGAACGGCAACGTGATCATGGATTATAGAGTGGGTTTACGACGACTTGAGGCGTTCGCAACTCTTATATACAGGTGACCGCAGCCGGTAAATGTGCTCGACGAGACTGAACTCTCTTTGATGCGTCGAAGCCCCCTTCCACTGAGTTTAATGACACTCAACGTCGGCCGAGGAGTACAAGGTCCTGAAACTCTATTGCCTGAGATCCTACCCAAGGCCACAGAGCAAGGATCTTTAGGGGATATTTTTTTGGCCGATCTTGTTTCTTTTTTGAAAAAAATCTTTTTAGTTCTCCCGGACATTGGAAATTTTGGGTCAGTTGTAACGACATTTCCTTTGTCGGAATCGGCGAGAGATGGTATTTCAAATGAATTGGCCTGTTTCCATGCATTCAAGGATATCCACGTGGAGCGTGAATGGACCTCGTGCAGACGGCAGGCTACCGTCTAATAAATTCAATCCGATTTATTTCTTTTTTGTTATTCACGCATCCTTTTACTTGGTTTCAAATTCGCCTTAGCTCCCCAACCTAAGTTTACTGCGTAATTCCTTAAAATTCTTTTTTATTAATATATCAGAGTTCCTCGTTTAAATGTTAAATAATGCAAAGTTGATCATAATTACAAAATAAATTGTATAAATATTACTTTGGTTATATGTTTTTGTTTTAAGATGTTAAATGGTTATTTTTTTAAACTTGTCGAGGCTCCTCGTCTCGGATGGGAAGAACTCCTTTTACGCAGTTCCTCGATTGTCTCATAAAGAAATTGGAAGTCTGTGCAAGACATTACAAGCTAACTGTACAATAAATTAATCAGCTTTTCATAACATAATTGCTCTAGAGCCGGTATTTAATTCACTCTTCAAGTGGACTTAGATTAAAACAAACTTGAACATACTCTGACTAAAACTTATATCTCTCTCTCCCTCTCTCCCTCCTTTTCACTCTCTTTTTCTTTCTTTCTTTCCTTCCTTTCTTTTTTCCTTCCTATCTTCCTTTTTTCCTTCCTTCCTTTCTTTTTTCCTTCGTACCTTCTTCCTTCTTTCCTTCCTTCCTACCTTCCTTCCCTCATACCTTCCTACCTTCCCTCTTTCCTTCATTCCTACCTTCCTTCCTTCTTTCCTTCTTTCCTTTTTCCCTCCTTACTACCTTCGTTCTTTCGTTCTTTCCTTCCTTCCTACCTTCCTTTCTACCTTCTTCCTCCCTCCTTCCCTCCCACCCTACCTTATTTTTTGTAAATGTTTAGGCCCTGAGGATGGCCTTATAAAGGCCGAAAGCTCGGTAAGTAATTGCAATTTGCTTTAGTCTTCTTACCCTGACAAGAAACAAGATCTTTAATTCACATACTTCCCGCGGTTGATAAACGTAATTTACGTATTTAAATAATATAGATTTGGGTTTTTTAACCATAGAAAAACTAAGTACTTATATAAAGGCCTGCCTTACTACAACATAAAAAATTTTAGAAATGCAAAGCAAGCAAAAAAAAAAGGGAAAAATTATAAATTTCTTTGGTTCAACAATAAACAATTAGTAATGAAGTAAGAAGAAAAGAGCAGTGTTCTTAGTGATATTATTGAATTAAAATAAATGCTAGTTTTAGTTATGTAAGTACATTTTCAGCTCATATAATCATCACGGCCAAATACACATCATTTTAAAGATTTAACAAAGATTTCTATTAAAAATTGTACATGACATTTTAAAATAGCACATATCAATGAAAACTCAAATAATTGAATTCAGAACTTTGTAGGACAATAAAATTTTAGATATTGTAGTAGAAAATGAAACTTTTTAAACCTAGTTTATCCTCCAATGCAGTCAAATTTATAAAACGGATTGTAAAGATCAACTTGATAAAAGAGGTGATAAGAGAGCATTGTGTGTACAAAAGTTTAAAATGTAAAATTATAAAACAACAGGAAATAATTTAAAAAATTGAATATATATGTAGCAAGTGAAATAGCCAATAATTGTAATAAAATACTAATTAGTATTGCTTATGACTACCTAAAGCAGATTGTAAGTTCGTGATCTCAATATAACCAAATAACATTTTAAGAGATTTTCCCACAATTTTATATCTACTATTATATAAATAAAATGTGAATACGTATAAATAAACATAATGTTGAACATTATTCAGATATCGTGAGATGCGGTCTGAATAACTATCGATTAACGGTCACTAATCTCTACACATAATGTTGAACTAGTATAAGTTTTCCTTTGTGTTTCAAGATTTTTTATTTTCCTATACCAGTTGACTTTAATAAATTGATCTTGTATTCTATTTCTTTATATATATATATATATATATATCAGTTTGTTCATCGGGCGAGCACCCTTGGATGTGCCTACACTGCGGCGTTGTGAGCTGTGGGCGATACGTCAATGCTCATGCGCTTGCACACTCTGAAAGCCAAACGAACCACACCGTCTGCATGGACTGTGAAAACCTAACAGTATTTTGCTACTCTTGCAACGACTACATTCTAAATGATACACCCAGTGGTCTCATCAGGCAGCTTAGAGAAGTGCTCCTCCAAATGGGGAGCAAGAGCCCTCCTTCTTGGCCAGGCACATGTGACATGATAAGCGAATCCGACTCTCTTCAAAATACTAGAAACCTAAGGCCAAGAACAAGAAAAAGGTGCACTTTCTATTTATTATTTTATTAGCTTTAAGTTGGTTGTTTTTGATCATCCTGGTCATAAATGAACTAAACAGACCAAAATAGCAAGGAGCATAACATATGAATTTAAAAAAATTGAACATACAAGTTGCCCTGCAATTGTCAAGAACTACTGGCTCTAATTTACAACTTTGATGGATATTTTAGATCTCGCTCAGATGACAGCAGCAGTGCAGGTAGTTCTGAGAATATTCAGTGCAACGTCCGAGGGAGGCCTAAGCGCAAGAACAGCCGCAGGAACATCAGCCGGAGAAAAAACCAAATAAAACGGGAAAAAAGGGTTGTTGGGTTGAGAAATTTAGGCAACACCTGTTTTATGAATGCGGTCCTTCAATCGCTTAGTAACATAGAAGAATTTTGTCTTTACTTCAAAAAATTACCCTCTCTAGAAGCGATGAAAAACCGGAATAAAGTGTACCAATCCAGAACAATAAAAGAGCTGAAGGATGCCATTATGGCCGAAGAACTTAGGAAAGTGTTGATCAATCTGACAGATCAAGGGACCAAAGGTGCTATCTCCCCCGAATCGTTATTCCTCGTAATATGGAAAGTTGTTCCAAGATACAGGTATTATAATGACATCTTGTCATTTTAATACACTATAAATAACCCCTTGTCTATTTTTGTTTTCAGGGGATATCAACAGCAAGATGCACATGAATTTTTGCGATATATGCTTGACCGTCTGCATACTGAACTGCTACACCTCCTGCCAGATTTTTCCCTCAAAGAATCTCAGTATATTTCTCATAAGAACAAGACATCAATTGTAACTTCAGTTTTTGGTGGAATGCTCCAAAGCGAGGTAATTAATTTTTTTTATCTTCGTTTTCTTTCATTGTAGTTTTTCTTAGTTATATGTAAATTAATTTAATTTTTGTTGAGATTTGTAAATAGTAATGATATAATACAGAGTAGAGACAATAAAGAAAATGTAAAAATTTTGCTTTGCACTTTCATATTTGCTCCGCTTTACATAAAGCATTGAACTTCTTGTTCGGATAGATAGATATAATAACCTAATCTATCCTAATAACCTAACTCAATGCATTCCTAATTCTGTCTTAACTAATCTAACTTGTCATTTACACTATCTATCATAACATAACCCATCCCTAATGCTAACATTAGCCTAACACTACCCCACCACTAACCCTACCTAACCTAACCTAACCCTAACACTAACTCTGCCTAACCTAAATTTACCCTTCTTTAATCCTAACATTAACCCTACCTAACCTAACAACTCTAATACTAACCCTACCTGAACCTAACTCAAATCATACGCTCTCCTTTGTAACACATTATCTGATAGACCAAAATGTTTCCTTGGTCTGAAGTAGTGGTAGGGGGAAGCCTTTGAAATGCAACAACATACATGTATGAGAGAGGCTCACCTCAGCATGCTATCAGTAAATTAAAAGTATTAACTTTTTCATCATTATTATTAACAATAATTTTATTATTGTTAACAACATATTAACTATCAGAGAACTCATATGTGTTGTATCCAGCTCAAAAACTTTCATTGTCAAAAGATAAAACGGCATACATTTTCTTCTTCTAAATTTGATTGACATTTGGGTAAAAAGGTGAGGTAAAGTAATTCCTGTTACACAGGAGGTCTGAATTCAGTACTCCAAAAACTACTGATACATTTTTCTAAATTAATCTCAAATAAAAGACCAAGACTATGCCAAGATAAACCACCAGTGTGTCAAAAAAGAGTCAGAGCCCTAATCACTAGGAATATACATTTTAAAAAAAATATTTATTTATTTTTAATAGTTCAGACTAGGATATAATTTTTCTTAATTTCAATGCAATATTATGTAATTAGGTTTTTTCATGAAAGGAGTTTTGCCGAAAAAACTGGTTTGTAAATGTTCTGCAATAGATAGGTCTTTCAAAATCAATCCTTGTCCATTTTTAAGGAAGGTGAGGAAAAAAATCTTCACAAGTAAAATAGTTCTTCAGATATTTGAAATTTATCTGAAGAATTGATAGCTAGATATGTGGGTCCTATGGCATAAGATGAACGTACTTCAACAACTGAAATGTCAAAGTGAATTGTTGTTCTTTACTTCACTTCTGAAAAAAAATTAATGCAAATAATCACATACAATAATAAATAGATCATGAATGATAATGTCAGTGATTAGATGATAATCAACCACCTAATGTCTACCAAAACAACCTTAATCTGAAAAAAAAATCAGCTAAGTGGGTCGGCAGTATAGCTTTCTTACATTTTATGTGGGATTTCTTTTAATTTGTAATGACCAATTATGATGAAGTGTGTAAATAATGTTTTTTGTTTTGAAGGTGAGGTGTTTGAATTGTGGGACTGAGTCGAAAAAGCATGATCCGTTTCTTGACCTATCTCTGGACATACCCGAAAAATGTCACAACCAGCGAAAGTGTAAAGAGACAGGGGAAGACCTTCCACCTTGTAATATATTAGGTATGTGGTTCATTATATTTTATTGCCTATCAAGTACAATACAAGAGCCAATGTCATTGGTGTTTTGTCTACTAGAGATTTTATGTATTCTTATTTTTGTCCATTTTTTGTTGTATTTTGTTTAAGCAGATGTTTTGTTTTAGATTGCCTGACTAGTTTTATTGAAGTAGAAGAATTGGCGGAAACAGAATTATACTACTGTAGTAATTGTAAAAGTAAACAAAGATCTACGAAAAGATTTTGGATCCGCAGACTACCTAATGTACATATAAAAACCAAAAAGTTTATTTTTCCTTGTTTATTTTTAATATTAATTTTTTTTATTTGTAAATTGTTTAAAGGTTTTGTGCTTGCATCTAAAAAGGTTCAGGTGGAATAATTTCTTTAGAACCAAAGTGGATACGCACGTAAAATTCCCTGTGATAGCGCTGGACATGTCTCAGTTTGTACTGTCCGACTTGCCAGATACAAGAGCGTCCAGCACCCAACTATACGACTTAGCTGCAGTCATTGTCCACCACGGCGGTGGTTCTGGTTGTGGGCATTATACTGCATTTGCTATTAATGATGGTAAAAAAAAAATAACACATTCTCCTCATAAAAACCACTTCAACTCTAATCGCAATTTTTTTCAGGTCAATGGTTCCATTTTAATGATAGTATGGTCCGGCCGACAGAAAGCGACGTAGTAGCAAAATGCAAGCCGTACATCCTTTTCTACATCCGGCGGGAGTTCAGGCTGCCGAGTGTCAAATCATGAGCTCTACCCCTGCCCCGTGTCCCTGTTTTTAAACCTTCTATATATTTCTTTCCGTAATGTTCAATCCCTCTCCTCCCTTTTTGTCCCAATGGCTCAATATTCGAACTCTGTGTCACATCACGCTCGCGTCTCGTTACGCTAACTATATATATATTATATATATATAAATATAAATAACTAAATCGGAATAGCTATTAGAAACAGATAATAAAATATGCCTATTATGTAAATAAGTATATACTTTTTTATGGCCGATAGTTTAGATTATGTATTATTTTATATTCGTTCATTTTGTTTCGTTTTTTTTTTTTGTAATTTCCTTTTTTAATTATGGTATTAAGTCTTGGTGAACCATGGTGATAAATGGTTTTCTTAGAATCACTTACGTCTTAGCATTATTTATTTTTTATTTGTGATGCTTTATTTTTAAATATATATTTTTTATGTATTTGCCTTTGTAAACTGGTTTTTCTGCATCACTTCAGTTTTTACATACATTGATGGTCATTGCATTTAAGTTTTTTTTTAATTTAAAAATTTTTCTTTATTACTTAACTGGTATTGTATATAACTAAATCTTCTAAAGAGTGATTATTTTCTCTTAAACATGTGTTCAGATGTTTGAAAAACAGGGGAGTTTGTCCAATTTATAAATTAAAGATATTTCAGGTCAAATTCCCATTCTTAAAAAAAAAGAAAAAAGAAAAGCTGTTTAAAATAAATTAAAACAGTGAGTATCTTTATTTGTATTTATTGTGTTTTTCTTGTATTTTCCTTGTTTTGTTTTTTCTTATGATTACCTTATTGTGTAAGTCCAAATTTATGCTACAAGGGATGAAATATCAAAACGTCTTTTTGACATGATTTTTAAGTCGCATCAAGCCATCAACTCAATTATTGTGTTTAGCATAATTCCTTATTTTCAGCAATAATGGCAAATGCAGAAAAATGAAAATGAAATTTTTATGCAAATATGGTTGAGAAGAAAAATTAGTGGATTCGAACCCATGACCTTCAGCTAAGCCTAAGACTAGTAATGGGTTTGAATCACGCTCGTAACATTCTTTTCAATTGTCTTTGCATAAAATTGGAAATAATAATAATAATAAAGATAACTAATTGAATAGTTGAAATTTGTTTCCTGAAAACGAATGACCACAAAATTCTAAACTGAAATTTACACCGATTCCATTTTATGACTTTAAAAAAGAAATTACACGAATTGTGTTGTGACTGGAATTTCTGTGTTGCGCAGCAAGACTCAAAATTTTTTTTTTTTAATTTACTCTTACTTTATCATCTCTCATACATATGTGTAATATTTAGTGACTGTTAAGTAATGATTATTTAGTGTGATGTAGGTTTAGAAAAACAATTTCTTTATTGTTTCAATTTTTACTAAGATAATCTTCAGGGCTCTAAGTGTTTGTTTTCTGTGTAGATGTGTCACTGCTGTGTGTCTTCAAAACTCAGCATGACACACTGAGTGTTGAAGAAGATCTCAATAAAGATCGAATCGGCACAATAAAATGTTTTTCTAAACCTACATTGCACCAGGTCGCATCTCAAAGTCTCCAAACACTCATTGAATCTAATTAATCCATTATGTTTAGTGGTCTTTCAATTAATTATTCTTATTATGAAAGGTCTTGGTTGGGATGAAAACGTTATTGTCACAAAAAGGATTCGAACCCAAAACCTTCGGCTAGGAGTTGGAGTGGGTGTCCGAGTGGATCGAAGTCACGATAATTCAAATAGTTAGAGCGGTGATGTATTGAGCCAAAGGTCGTGGGTTCGAATCCCGCTTGTGATACTTTTTCACCTCAACCAAGACCTTACATAAAAAGAATAATTAATTGAAAGATTGAATATAGTGAGGATAGATATACACTAACCTAACCTAACAGGCCATCCCTAATTCTAACCTAAACTAAAATTTAAAAAAAATTAAATTAAAATTTGTTGAATTGATAAAGATGAGGTGAGTATTAGTTTAATCTTTAATAAAAGCTAATTTTTACTCACGGTTTGTTGTTAATTATCCGATTTTCAAGTTTAAAGCTCATCATCAAATTGAAAGAGTTACAAGCACGTACTTTGGACGAGTAAGACTGAACCCGCCAATCCACCGCCAACGCGACATTCCAATAAGAAACTTTTTTGAACTTATTTTTTGTTTTTAAATTTTTATTAATTAATAAAAAGACATACATATAAATTAACCACTAATTTAAAACTATTTTTTACAGTATTTATTAAGATATAATATTTAGAGGTATTATATATAAAAACCGTTTTTTCCCGCTTTTCGCACGTTCAAAATTGGGCGCCAATAAAAGTCAGCTTTTCGCTGGAACGACGTCGCGTTGGCGGGTGACCGGCGATTTCACTAGTACAATTCGTGTCGAGACTCCGAGAGATGTGCGTTGTTATCTTCTTCAACCCGATGATGAGCTTTAAGCTTGAAATCCGGCTAGCTGAGAACAACAAACTGTGAGTAAGACCTATCTTTTAAAAAAAGATTGAAAATTGTTTGAGACGATTACAAAATTTTAAACTGAAATTTACACAGATTCCATTTCATGATTTAAAGGCTAAATTATTATACAAACTATATCGTGATTTTAAAAAATGTGCACCAAAACACAAAATTTATTTTTAAAAAAATTGACCGTGGAAACTACAATCCTTAAAAAAAAAAAAATGGCAGCCTTTGATTTTTGATTTTACTAGATGTGGTTTTCTCCTGTATCCATCACTTTTGGATTCCATAAAATATTGGTTCAATATTCCATGCTCCTCCCTTAGAAGCTGTAATCGTGAGAATTCTTGTCTAGCTATCTGTCGGGCTTCTGAAAATTGGTTTAAATTGTAAGTAGAAAAGTCCCAGGATGTAATAGATATACAATGAAGAAAAAGGAAAAATCGCGCCTTTCACATTCATATTTTCTTTTATTCACTTAAAATATTGAATATATAGTTAGGAAGATGGATGTAGGCTAATCTAACCTCTCAGGGGGCCATTGTTCAGTCGGGCCTTTGCAGTTGTTTCTTGGTTCTCTTCTTTCTTCTTCTAACTCACCAACACTTACGTTCTTTTATTCTCTCCAAATTTGGTCTCTTGGACCTGTCTTACATTTAACGAGATATTCAATAATTATTTATAATGTTAGGGGTATTTAATATAAATTATAAGTGTGTGGTGATTAGTGACCGTTAATCGATGATTATTCAGAGATCGTGAGATGCGGTCCAGACTGCACCTCACGATCTCTGAAAATCATAAATTATAAGCTTAATTTGTAGAGTCGGTCTGAGACAATGGGGGCTCTGACTATCTTATCTGTACTTACTACTCCGTGAGCGCGATTTTGACTGTTGGTGACAAATTTTTAGTGGACCCTCTCGTTCTCTTATTAGAGATATACTGAGTTGGAGATTTCTGGGTACCCGGACACATCGGGCTGAGGACAATGAACGTGCAGATGAAGTGGTGAAAACTTGGATATCTTGCCCTCCAAATAGAGCACTACAACCAGCCCTGTGATGCTGTACAAGCAATAATGAACATCATAAAAACACTTTGGCAGCCTTGATGGGACGGATCGTCCAAGCTTTTGCTGGTCAAGAGCATGACTGGGAGATTGCCCGCCGAGATTCTGAAGCACAATGAAGGTGCTCACCTGTTTGAAGATAGGCCATACACAATTGACCCACAAGCACCTGTTTTTGGGGGCAAACCCTGTGCAAGTGTCCCACTTATATAAATTTGTGCATATAGTTATATAGTTGTTTGTTTGGGTGAATGAGAAAGGAAGAGGGCCGGTAGTGGAATATTGAGTACCTTATTGGCCCTGACAGTGTATGTTGTCTATGTGACTTTTTCCTCCTTTGGAAGAGTATGGGAGAAGCCTTCTTCAGGTTTTTGTTGTTTTTTTGGGTCTCCTTATGCAGGGGTTTTGACCCGGGATTATTGTGAAGCTTGACCAATGTGCCATCCTGGAGTTTACTCGCCTATTTTTTGCATAATCTCTGGCCAATGCTTAGTTATTAATTTACCCTTTGGTCAAGGGTTATACCTAGGCTCTTAATTTTTTTGAAAAATGTTATGGCTTCTCCTTTTAGAGTTAAAAAAAAGATTTAGCTTCCTTCATCTTATAAACAGTATGAGATAAACTTTTTTTAAAATATATTTATTTCATCATGCACCAGGCACTTTACAGCACTACATTCCTTCTGTTTCTTCTGCTCTAGAAAAACAAATATGTTCTTTATTTGTCTGTAAAAATTTAATTTATACTCCCACTTCAAAAACTCGCTTTCTACAAGGGCCATCATAGTTCATGCATCACCATGCATTCCACCAATGGGAACCTGGCCTGTTGGACACCACCGAACTCAATCAGCAAGTGGTCTACTGTCTGTGGGAGTGTTTGTCCATGTGGATAGGTAGGTCTGTTGATCTGAAGTGAATGTAGGTATCCCACTATTCTTCCGTGTCTGGTCAATATTAGTATTGTTCTTTGGTCGATTTTTAGATTCATGATACAAAGATGTAAGGTGAAATTTGGGGAAAAAGGTCTTCCATGATTCTCCCCATGCCTTCACGTTGTGTTTTCTTACATTCCTCTGAATATCTGTTATTAGAATCCTGTTTTAAGAGAGAGAGAGAGATACTCTGGGATGCTTCCTTAGCCATCTGATAAGCGATTTCATTCCCTGCAATGCTGGTATGTGCTTTTTGAATGTTATTTTGTGGCTTGACTTCAGTCTTCTTAGTGATCTTTTCAATCAGGGCATATGTATGCTGTAATTGAGCATTGATTCTAGGGTGAGTTTGCTATCAGTCATAATTTTAATTATGTACCTTCCTGCTGATCCACCCATTATAATACTTTTGATACTGCCAATTGTTCTGCCTGGTTATTTGAGCAATGACCCTTTTAATTTTTGACTTGCTATTGTAGTCTTGCCTTTGAGCATTGTGTACATGCAACCAACATTAACTCCCATCCTTGCTACCATCATGTATATACATAGTCAAACTCTATGTCCATTTCCACATTAAGGTTGGGATTTTCCAGATGCATCCAAAAGTGTGATCAAACGGGCGGGGCAATCTAATTCGAGGTTATCCATTCCTTTCCTTCTTTGACTTTGTCGAGTAGCATCAAATCTGTATAGATAGGTCTTATTCCTGCCATCATGCATGCAACTTCTAAAGAAACGGTTCTGGGTCCTCTTATTAGTCGAAAGGTAGGTCAAAGTATCTGTACTCTTTCAATTTTTTTCTGGTTGTTCTTGATGTCTAAGACAGATCCCCATCTGGTTATTGCAGTTTGTTTTGTGTCTCCTTATGTAGTGTTTTTGGGGTCACCATAATGCTCTGTATGTGACCAGGGACCATTGTGGTGTTTAACCAATGCACTATCCAGGCGTTTATTCCTGGTTTTTTTTCTGCATAATTTCTGGCCAAAGGTTAGTTATTTACATTTCTGCTTTTGACCAATGGTACTTTCTTTGGAGGAAGTTTCATATTTAAGAGTGTTTTAGATCAAGTGCTAGACTTAGCTTCCTTCTTCTTGTGGAGGGTATGATATTGTATTCTTAGTGTTGATATTTTCTTTTCTTTAGACAATATTTCAAGCAATTTGCATCTGATTTGACAGATTGTCATAAATTTTCCATTGTCATCGGCATAACCTACAGTTTGGTATGCTCTCTGATTAGGCCATCTAATACTAACAACAAAAGTGTCAGATTTAGTCAAGGTTGATAAAGTTTTTACTCATTATGTTAATGGGATGGCGTTGATTGTTGAATAAATAACACATTTTCACGCGAGACCTATTTTATTTTATTATTTACTCGATGTCGATCAGAACATCCATTTCGTCACAGTCAGGCTTTTTCTCAGGTACGACCCTAATCACCTTTTCCTCCCTTTCTTTATGAAAATATGGCGTGGAGCGCCATGAATTTAGCACTTCTTCATCCAAAACTTCGATCGGCATTTCAAAGGCGTAAGTGTTCTTCTTCGTCTCGGATTTATCACATTCCCAGGCTTGTTTCAAATATGGCATATCGGAATCTGAAAATAATAAATTTCTCGGTTAACAAGAAAAAGAAAATGAGAAAATATTAACATTCTGGAGTTATTTTTTCTTCAGAGTTATTCTTCTTCTCAACAGATTTCTTAAGAGGACGCCTCTTCTTCTTTACAGTTTTTGCATTCGTTACAGTCTTCTCGTTTGTGGGCAATTCAAAAACACCTGGGAAGATTTCTTCTTTGATTTGGTACCTCTCAGAGACCTCGTTCTTATTGTAATTCCCGTTATCAACTTCGTCAAGCCAATCTTCGAATTCTTCCATGTTGATATTAACTGGCTTTAAGTTTAAGGTTTGTCTTTTCCCCACCATGGCATTTTTGTTGGACTTCATAAAAGTATTGAGTTCACCTAACAAACTGAAAATCCGTTTTAGTGTATGTCAATTCTGTAATTTTTTTTTCAACCTTTTATATCTATGATTTTCCTCCTGGTTCAAAATAATTGGATTCCCTGAGAAATCATGCTGTTGGATTTTTGGACTGCTGACAATTTCATCATTATCCTCTTTGACTTTATTTGCTGCCTTTCCTTTACCCTTTTTCTTGTCTTTAGATATTTTTTTCCCCTTGGTGACCCGTCTAACATTGTATATGTTGCAATAGTTTTCACTTTCAATTTTTATAAATTTTAGTCAATTACCAATACCTTTTTTGCTCTTTTTTGACAATTTCCTCAGTGAATTTTTTATTGTCCATTGAATTTAAGGATTTTATAATTTCTCTTGCCTCAGTAAAATTACTCTTAACAACTTTTTTCTCCCTGTAAAAATAATCATAAATTGAGAAAGTTTCATTTCATATCATAGGTCAAAATCTCAAATTTTATCTTTAACAATGAATGTATAATGCAAAAAAAAATGAAGGTATTTACAAATATATACAGACAATACTGTTTGAATATGTACATATCTGGTGTGATCGGCTTGACGTCAACAGCAGACGTCAGGGGTGTTGATGTTACACAATCAGATGGTTGTCAGCCAGGTTGTGCCTACATCACTTGTGAAGGATGGAAGGAAAAGCTGGATAGGTTGCCAAATAATGGATTGCAGTGAGAGACAATTTAGAGCGAGTTTAAGTTTGGGATGACTTCTGGGATGGAGGATCAAATATTGTCCATAGGATTTTTTTATTGGAGGGATTGGATTTTATTGGAGGAAAGGTTGAGTTGAACAGGTTGCAAATTAATGGATATCAATGAGAAGACAATTTAGAGTGAGACTGGGCAAGTTTTGATACCTAGGGTATATTTAGATTAGAATGGATTCTATGAGTGGTGATGAGTTCTGTGAAATGGAGAATTGTGCATAGGATTTTGGACTTGCAGATTGTATTTTGTGTAGGTTGGGATGCTTGGCTGTTCCACACAGTTCAAGGCTGTAGGTTTGAATTGGGACAATGAGGGAGGTATAATACCAGATAGTAGTCTAGGTAAATGTTTGTTGAGAGGTTTGCCATATTTTTGGCATGTGTGAAAATTAAGGTGTTGAAATGCAATGAGAGGTCAGCTGTCAAGAAGGAGTAAAGTAAAGGAGCAAGCGAGCACCGGGTAGAATGGGATAAATAGAGAAGGTTGGTTACTTAGAAGTATCGGTCTGTTTGAAGACAAGGTAGTATGAAAAGGAAGGATGCCTGTAAGCTTCTATACCAACCCCTCATGCCATATCTCAATCAAAGATCTGGGATAGGTTTACTGTAAATTTTATTGCAGTCTATGACGTGTTAGAATTTCCTTTATAAATAAATTGTATTTTTGACACTTACCAATAGATCCACAAGAAGAGTGTAATTATTGTTCAAATTTTGTCATTTCATTATTAATGAATGGGAAATATGTAATAAACAATGACTAATTACATGTTTGAATAAAACGTGTCCTTTTCTTGGAAAAGTTCTGCGGTATATTTTTCAGTCTCTTCCTCTTGACCTTGGTCGGGCAAGTACTTACGCACCGTGAAAGGATCGTCCTGGCTGTAGTTACAGTCGAGTTTATATTGTTTCACCCTAAATTTAACAATTAGGTCACTTGAAAATCAATTTGGGATATAATTGGCATCCATACATTTCTGGGGAGTACGGAGTGTCCAACCGCTGTCCTGACTCCTGATCCTTAGCAATCTGACTGGTTAATTTTCTGGAAAATAATAATTGTTCAAGTCACAAAACAATACAAAAAAAAAAAAAAAAGACAACCTAAATTAACCCATCCCTAACCCTACTCTAACCCTAACTATCCCTAACTCTCGACTTACCTTACCATCCTAACTCAGTCCATGTACACTGCATTGTAAACATTTTTGTGCAAAAAAATTTATATATAAATGAAATAGAGTTTCTTGGAGGAAAGTGGCCAATAATAATTATTGTAAGTATAAAAATACCAATAAAAATATTGGTAGTATTTTTATTAGAAATATATACCAATATATAAAATATTGGTAAGTTTATTGACACCTATTGGCCCTGCAGCGTTTTGTGGCATACCAAACTGTCAAAAAAGTGGATCCAACAGACAATAGATTAAAAAATAGCTCTTCTGTTCAATAAGAATGTAGGCCAGGACAGAAGAATGCGGAAAAGTTCATAAAACAACCATCTCACAAACTAATGGCAGAACTACTAAATATAGGCTGTGTTAGGAGTAGAATAATAGTTGTACTGCAAACTGAATACTGCAAACTTTGACAGCATATATATATATATATATATATATATTCCTCTGATGGTTGGAAAGCTAATTTATGTAGGCCAAGATTCCTACTGCTGGGAGAAGAAAAGCCTGGGCCTGAAGAATATTCTCGGGAGTCCTTGTAAAAGATTCAGGTTCTAGTGAAAAGCCTTAAGCTTAATGAGGAGCTCTGGATGATTCACAACAGACCAGTACTGGCCACAGTGCGCAGTTCCTAAAGAAGCTGATGCCTACTGTCAGTCTTAATATTGGAAGAAATTGGAAAGAAAAGAAAAATTTGTAAATTTGAATTAATAGAAAAAAGTGTATTCAAAATTTGAATTGTTGAACAAGCTCAATACTTCCACTGTTTGACCACCTGTGGACTTGAACTATTTAAAAATTAGATTAGCATTGAGGGTCATGATGTGGAATAAGGTTTCGACCGACCTTAAGTTGCACAGAGAACTGATGCTTTTATTACCACTTAACCACAAAGCTGAATTTAAATGAAGAACCTCAAATATAGGAGAGGAAGGATAGAGAAAAATTCTCAGATGAGTGCTCTTCTATTTTCTATTTCTATGCTTCTGACTTAGTTTAGATAAAAGGATTAAAAATAAACCAGGCCAGTTAGCAAAATTAGCCAAGTGGGGGATGTACAGTGTGCTTCTGAAAAGAGATTTCCAATGGTGAAACATGAATTTTTTTGTAATTTATTGAGCTATTATTTTGGACAACCTTTCTTCAGAAGATAATTACGCCTTATAAAATGTAAAAAAAGGTTTTAAAGTGTGAAGGTAAACTAGGTCAGGAGAAGAGTATAAATTTGCCATATAATTAAGGGAAGGGGGTTCACACTTGTTATTCTTTTTTTGTCTACAAATCTCTTCTAGGTGAAATTTTGGTCCACTGTTAACTTCATCACCCTGGAAAAAGTTATATTTTCCATTTTTTAGAAAGAGCACTTTTAGGTTAAGCTTCCTTCCCTTTGTAAATGATATAAGTGTGGTTTGGTTCAGGTTAACACCCAGACTCATTTGACACTACCTTACTAGTAGTTTGAAAGCAATTTGAATTTGATATGAAACTGTTTCATTCAATTTGTTCTTTTTTATTACTCTAAGACATCAACATAAACTCTTAGCATATGATCAACATCTTAACATATACCCTCTACAATCAGATGATGAACCAACACAACCATACAAGTAAACGATAGTACACTCTTGGGGGCATCCTTGTTACAACTATCATTGAAGTACTAATTTAGCTTCCATTTCTCGATATCTTAGAAATCCTATTCAATCGAGCTGTCTAATTTGTACTTAACACATCGTCATACCTCACGCTAATAGTGTATGCTTTAGGGTGTGCCAATTTGAGGCTCTGAACCTGTTTTTGTTCGTTTGTCAGACTGCTTTGCCTTCAACCTAATGTCCTTCACCAGATTCGCCTGATTTCGTTTTCCCAGGAGTTGGAGATAAGTTAAGCATTCCAGCCTTCAGTGCTGTTTGGCTCTCTGAGGGATATCTTCTAATCCCTTTTTGAAAATTTTTTGTGCATAGAGTTCTGTTGCATGTATTTCTGCATGGAAAATTGATAGTATAGTACCCAGAGATTTTAGTTGGCTGAAATTTTAGACTTTAACTCCTGCCCACACGCCATGTTCCAGTTTGGATCCATCCACCATAACAAGGCCAGTCTATTAGTTGTGGGCTTTTTAATTTTCTAAAAAATCTCTTGACATTATTTTTATTTGGCATGGACTTTTTTTAAATATTCATTTCATTATAACTATTTCACTTATTTTTGTAAGATTTAGTATTTATGGTGGCTTTCTCTTAGGTGAGGCTTTATTTCATTTTGTACTAAGAACTTGTTTGCATGTTAGTATGACATCCTCTGGAGATCCCAGTGCCAGTTCCATTGCTGAAGTTGGGCAAGTTAGATTAGATTACATAGGAGCTGGCCTCTTTATGGCCTGTACCCTGTGACCAGTATTTTTTAATTTTTTTATTATTATCTAGAGCTCCTCGTTAATCTTGGGGCTTTTTACCTGTCCCCAAAGCTTTTTCAAGGGCCTATCCTTCTGGCCCTGGCTTTTCCTCTCCCATTTTGGCTACATTTCCATTGAACGGAGGGCTTATTGTATAATGGATCTGCATTTTTGGCAGATTGGCAAGCCACAAAAGAGTTCAGGGCCAATAGGTGTCCTCATTAAACTTTTCTTGGCAAATTTATTGGCCTCTTCATTGCCCCTCAAACATGTGTGCCTTGGTATCCAGACAAGGGTAATTTTGTTATTTTCTCCAATGTCTGACAGGGCTCTAATGCAGTCCCAAACGACTCTGGACTTTACCGTCGATGCGGCAATTGCCTTCAGTGCCAATATTTATATTGATTTTAGGTCTTCTTTTCCAAGATTTTTAGCTCCAGATATGTACTATCCTATCCTAACCTAGAAGATAGGCTTCTATCTGATGTTGTATATACAGCCTGTAGGTTTTCGACAAATTTCCCATTCTTTAAATTTTTGAAAAGATTTTTACAAAACCTTTGGCCAACAATTTTTATGTCCTTTGCTTGTTGTATTGTTTGGTCTATATGTCTGGTAGCTAGATATAGATCTACTGCTAAACTTTGCCTCTCTGGAGAAATCGGTTTCATCTTTTTTTAAAGTAAGTGCTTTCTCATTTATTTTCTTAAGCTTCCTGCTCATTGTGAACGGTACAAGTTTGGATTTGTTCAAGTCAACCATACAGGTTCGTAATTTCTGAGAGCACTTTCCATTTGATATGTTTCATCAACCATCACATAAGAGAGGCGATAATACACCCTCTTGGGTCATTGATGTAATTGTCATTGATTTATTTTCTATTTCTCGAATAGTTCGAGTATTGCTTTGCCTATCCTCCCTCTCTGGGATGAACTGTCAGTGATAGTCTGAATACACTGAAGAAAGCAGACCAAACAATCGGTAACGACCAAATTTGAAATTTACATCAAAGAGAACACAGAGAAATCTCACAATTTTATTGTAGACTATCACCTAAGAGAGGTATAGTACACCCCCTCGTCATCCTTGTAACTGTCATTGATTGATATTATAAATTGGCTTCTTTTTTTCGACTTTTTAGAAGTCCTATTCGGAAGAATTTTGTCTTTGTGATCATGAGCTTAAGTAAAAGTGTATTTATGAGTTTATTTCTTGCATTAAGTTCACTAATTTAGTGGCCCGCTTGACCAATGAAATCATTATAATTAATTAAGGTTTTTAGTTGAGATGAAAAAAGCTAATGGCACGAGAGGGATTCGAACCCACGACCTTCGGCTAGATACGCCGCTGCTCTACCACCTGAGCTATCGTGACCTCGATCCGCTCGGGCATCAACTCCCCATCTCAAGGAAGGAAAACTCATAAGGTGGGGTTGAGATGGGGAGTTGATGCCCGAGCGGATCGAGGTCACGATAGCTCAGGTGGTAGAGCATAGGCGTATCTAGCCGAAAGTCGTGGGTTCGAATCCCTCTCGTGCCATTAGCTTTTTTCATCTCAACTAAAAACCTTAATTTTCTTGCATTAAGGTTCATTTCAATTAAAGAAGGTACGAATACGTCTTATGATTTAATTATTGTGCCAATTGACTTATTTTGATATATGAAAAATAATAGTCGAAGAAAATGATGTCTCAAAGAGAGAAAATAATTGAGAAGAAAGGAGGCTGAAGAATTGTTCTAAGTGGGCGGCATATATGAAAACTGCCTCAAAAGATGGTTTACGTGAGGTTTGACGAGAAAGACAGTCTTGTAATGAAATATTATTAACTTGGTTGTAGTTGATGTGTGAGTTGTCAAGTTTTTGACTGTGTTGGACTTGGCTGTTGTTATTCCAGTGTATTTTAAAATAGGGATTCGCATATTTTATAAGGATAAAAACAGTGTGACTTACACGTGGCTGAACGACTTGTCGAACCACTCTTGGACTTTCTTCCCGCTCTGCTCCATGGTAGAGTCCTGTCGTCTGCTTTCAGGTCTGGCCAAAGGTTCTTCGGTCAAAATGTCCGGCGTTCCACCTACGACGTCCATGTCGTCTTCCGAAGACCCTTTGTCGTCTAAGACGCTTCCCTCGCTGGATCTTATGTCGATGAGGGTCGAGATGGAGGAAGCCTGGGAGCACGGCCGGCTCGAAGAACTACGTCCTGTAAGAGGGTTGATCACTGGAAAAACAGACAAAGGACGATGGTATCAGTCTGAAAATTCCGGCCAGGCGTCGAACAAGCTTCAGCCACAATCTTACTCCACATCAACTGCGCTTATGTAGTTGTGATTTTCCAAACTTGCTTACCACATCCTTGGAACACATCGTCGCCCACTCTTGATGAAATCATTCTTTCCATTCTCGTGTGTCGAGACATTTCAGAGAAGTTTTAACAACGCCAACACTAAAATATAACGGAATAATTCTAAATCTAAAAATAACAGCACCTTAATAAACGTCAGCTGCTTTTTTTTTTAAATTATACCTACACATTTTAGCATAAGGTATTTTTTAGTACGATTATACTTTTATTTCTTCTTCATTCAAAATTTGTATACAAGGACATCAACAACTTTCTTTCATTTGCTAATGAATTTAGGTTTTCATAGTAATATAAATATATAATAACATATATACCAAAGAGTTTCCTAATAAGGTACAATCTAATTTTCTCCATAACGAAAAATATCCCAAAACAACTATTGATTTAAACACAATTTCCAAGTATAAACATAAAAATTAACTGTTCAAATTAATGAATCTTTATCTCTCTCTATGAATCTTTAATTGTAAGGTCTTGGTTGAAATGAAAAAGTTAGGGTCACGAGTGGGATTCGAACCCACGACCTTCGGCTCAATACTACACCATTTGAGCTATCATGAAGTCACGATGAGGTCATAAGGTCGTGGGTTCGAATCCCCCTTGTGACACTAACTTTTTTCATTTCAACCAAGACCTTACGTAAAAAGATTCATTAATTGAAATAAGTACTTTGGTTAATCAGACCACTAAATATAATGGATTTAATAAATATTAACGACTTTCTCCTTTGGGTTGAATAAGATATTTTGTTCTCGGCTAGCCTTGCTGAGTCCCTTGACAACTTCAATAAAAATTTTGAAATTGGTATTGATGAATTCGGCCATTAATATTGCAGGAGTCAAACGCGTTGATTGAATCTGAACAGGAAAGTTCAGTAAGTTCAACTTTTCTTTGAAAAGTTAAATCATGGCTTCCTTGTCCAAAGAAAGGCATAAAAAACATTCCTTTTGGGGAAACAGACTTAATCCACCAAAGGATAAATAATAAACAAAGAAATCGTCGACCCACGTACATACCCTCAGGCCAACCAAATCGATTAGCCACGTTTGTGTGGTTGCAACTTTCGGCTGATAGTTTAGTATGTAGTGTCCAGTGGTCCTGAACCATCAAGTTCTTTCTCTTAATTTTTTTTCTATTTTTTTTTCTCGATTATTTTAACCTTTCTGCCAAGTCCGATCAACAAACTGTGATCAAGACAGTCTATTCAAACACTCATGTAAACCTGCTTTGCAGACAGTTTTCACGCGAACTTTAATGTTTGACATGGCAAAATGCCATCAAGGTGTTCTCTTAGTTCCCATTTCTTATCCGTAATTTTCTTTCATTAGTCGATTGGCGCAAGAAAAGCTTACGTACATATTTTTATTTTTTATGGAAATATTTCACCCCTCACATTTTTTCTTCCCCTCTTAATTTATCCCCGCTGGAGGTATTTCTTTCTCCTTGTCTCTTTTCTCTCAATCTGAACATTTTTCCTTCATCTGTCTAGAGGTAAAAAGTGACCACGCTAGTTTTATTAGTAAATACTTGCAATAGTTACTGTTTTTATTTTTTATTTTTTTTTGTTTGTTGTTTAATGGATATTTTTAAAGGATATTAGTAATAGCTAAGTAAAAAATTAAACAAAACAATTTTACCAAAAATATTGCTATGGAAACAATCAATAAAATATTCAATTCTGGGTCTATCCTCCTCTTGCGTTGACCACCGCTTGCATTCGACGTGGCCTCGATTTTAAAAGGTTTTGGGTGTAGTGCTGTCGAATATTTTCATACTCCTCCAACAGCGCCATTCTTAATTCCTGCTAATTTTTTGGCCTCACTAGGCAACTTTTTACCCTTGATCCAAGGGAGAAAATGGAAAGGGCTCCTTCGAGTCGATTGGCGCACGAATTCAGCTCGCAAACCTCATAAAAGGCGAGAACGCAAAAAACGCAACAAAACAGCGTTCCATTTTCAATTTTTTCAAGGAAAATACCCAAAAGACTCTTCCAAGTCGATTTAAGAAAAAATTAAGCTTGTTTCACTGACAGACTTGACATCGTAAAGTCAAAATTAGACAGCGTTCGTTAACATTTTCAAAACGTCTCCCCCTATCGAAAATTCTTTCATGGATTTTTTCATATCTTGGCAGTCGGCTTAAAACAGCTCGAAACAAAACTTTTGATTACGAAACGGTTATCAAGTTAATCGAGCTTGAAAAACTTTCACACTACTTTTGAAACGCTCCACTCTTGACTGAATTACACAATCCAATTGGTGTCAGCGAGTTGAAATCCATAAACATTTCAAAAGGGATTCGCGATCGGAACTCAACGATAAAAATCTCGCTGCTGTTTGTTATGAAGTGATTGTATACTGGGTCTCTCATAGGTTTTAAGATTTAAGAATTTGTATGTTTTTTTAAAATCAATTGGATGAACCTGAACAATATCTTTATGCCAACCTTCATGTAAAAATATAGATAAAATCAATCAATACTGTAATAATAATAATAATTAACACAATTTTTGTTATATAATAAATCGCTTTTTAGAAAATACCTTTATGTAACGAAACGATGGTAAAAACACATTTCGTCGCAAAATAGCGAAATCGCACATCGGTGTTTTTTTTTTTTTTTTGCCGTATCGGTATCGAAAGGTTTGTTCTCGTATTCAGCGCATGGCGTAGGGGAGGCTTTTCCAGCATCTTCAAAACAAGGTTTCGTCGGCGGGTCGCTATCGCCCTGACCAAAGGCTATTTGGAGGGAAGGGGGTTGAAAAAAGGGGGGCGATTGCCCCGGGTCGTGACCTGAATTGATACGATTTCCGATAATCTGGAAAACCTTAGCTTAACTGTAGTTGTAAGTTAAAAATCAATGAAAAATATAAAGCACGGACACGTTGAAATATTTTACTGATAAATTGCATTATGTTTCAAGGCTGTGTAGTTTTGAAGTAAAATTTAGAGATGTTTGAGATTCAGTGTCACACTTTAGAGGAAATTTAAAAAATCGAGGTACTAGGGCATACAGGGCAACGGGGAGAATGGCGAAAGGTCTCATATCGGCCCTGAACCCTTTTGCGGCATACTTGCCAAAAATATAAATCAATAAGACGAGTTAAGAATAAGTTCGCTGCAATGGGAATGTATTCCAAGAAGGCACGTAAAATACCTCATTAAAGGGCCATCTCACCAACTCACCTAACTAAACCTAGGACGTTTTAAGACCTAGGGCTGACCGGACACTGAAGCATACTCTTAGATTCGAACAAGTAGAAAACAAGCCTGTGTAGGTGTTGCTAGAAAGACGAAACAGCGGAACATGTTCTCTGTTGGTATCACGATCTAAGCAGTGAAATCCATGGGAGAGGAAATACCAAGACCTGATCCACACACAGGAACCCTCGACGAAACTTGGTGTTTGCACGATGAATATCGTAATATACCAATATTGGTCACAGCCCTCATGTTCATAAAGATTAATTTTTTTAACCTTTATCCTTTAACCTTAAACCTTAAGGTTGTGAATTTGGTTTTTTTTTTATTTACAAAAATCCCAAGTGATAATAGAGCTGATAAGAATAAAATAAAGAGCTAACATTTGTTAAATTATTTATGCACCTTGAGGTCTGCGGACGGATGAGCATGAAGCCATGACTCCGGGACACAGGGGGTCGATAAAGATCCAAATCAAGTGATAAGTTTTTAAGTGGAATGAATTCCTCATTCTTAGTCTAAAATGTGAAATTCTATATCAACAATTTTATGAGTTTTAATGAAGTTGGTAAGCAAAGGTTTTGAGTTTCTAAAAAGTTCAACCTCTAGTTTGGACGGTTCAGTTAGCGTCCATCTTAGCCAGTCAGCGTCTCTCCCTGCTTATATATCCCAAGCTATTTCATCTAAGGAAAACCCCTTCACACAAGTTTGTAAGAAAATGTAAGTAGTAAAATTGGGTTTTCAGTTATATTTCATACGAGAGAACTTTAGATTTCATTTACAGTATTTTTACCTTTTATAACTTTTAGACCTTTGGCAGATGGTTTCAGTATTTTTTTAAATTAAAGTACCTAGATTTTCTTCTTAGATCGTTCATATTGCATATTAAACCGTACCAAATTTTAGTAGAATTTCATGAGTGCGTCCGCCAGTTCCAGGAGGATCGAATTTGTAAAAGACTTGATTTGAAGAGGGTCAATAGTGTCGGCTTCTTGTGAAATGACGCCAGGCGGTTCTTTTAGTCAAATCTGATTTGTAATGACGGGTGGCGATGAGATGAAAGAAGTCTCTGGCTACCAGGATCAGAGCCGGGCCGGCCTACGATCGAGTCACTCCTACTAACAACCGAGTCGCTTTGATCTCGATCCGCACCTTAAATTCTATTGATTACTACACTCTTCAACACCTCTCAGACCGCTCTATTAGCCAGATATAGATCTCTAAACCCTCCATCTTCTATCCGACGGCAGCTTTAGCATTTTCCCCTCATCAATCCTGATAACAAACAACTTGGCGCTTTTTATATACTTTTTATAACGAGTACGTTTTCCTTTCCCCATTTCTGCAAATCTCAAACTCCGTTCTTCCAATAAGATAAGCTTTAGTTATTGAAGAAATTTCTTTCGGCCCAAAATGCACTTTCATGGATAATTCGGTTCCCGGGCGAAATACGCTTAAATTCTTCCATTTGTGATTTTAAGAGATTCTGTGTCAATTAAAACCACCACTTAAAAAAGGACTGATTTATAGCAGGTAAAGCATAAACTTAGAAATGAGATATGCACCAAAATAAACAAAGAACTAATTTGTAAACACGTTTTATCTGTGTCTTATTTATACTTAAACACCCTTCCAATAGTACAATCCACATTCTAAAGATTGTCGTCTAAGAATGGATTAAAAATATTGAGGATGTCCTTTTTTATCTATCTATACAGGGTGTCCTTTTTAGATGGCCCGGCTGAATTTCTCTTGAACCAATGTCGCTATCAAAAAAACAAAAAATATTTTTTAGTTTCAAATTTTTATCTTTTTTTGGAGAAAAATTATACAGGGTTTTGAAAATTTGAAATACGACTCTATTCATCCTAACATATCATTTTTAAGGTTTTTTTTACGCTGAAAACAATGGTGCAATCGGATTTTAAATTAGTCAAGAA